TAAGTTGTATAAATGGAAATTAGTTACATCATCTTCATGCTCTTTTTGTCATGTTAATGACGAAACCTTACATCACTTGTTTGTAGGTTGTCATTTTGTGCAGGAATTATGGGAATTGGTGCAAGAACAGTTTGAAGTAATTAGACATATAAGTTGTAACTACAAAAACATCAGTTTTGGAATATACAACTCGCCAAAAAACAAAATGTTAAATCATACCATAATTTTATTCAAATGGTTTATTTATTTCTGTAGAACAAAAAACAAAATGTTGTCTTATGCATTTAGGATGTTTGTTCTTTCCAATAGACAAGTTGAATATGAAATTGCAAAAAGAAATAATAAGGTCATCTTTTAAAAAATGGGAGAAAGCTGAAAACTAGCTTAGTAATTAAACGCTGTATTCGTACACCAGATCATCTTTTGTTTTTGTATTTCCTTTTGTAAGTTTGTTTTTGTGTATGTAATTACTTTATTCGTATAATAAAAAAAAAAAAATAATAAAAATAAAAAAAAAAAATAAGCCCACAAGTAAAGGTTCCTTTATAACATATGTAAAGTATGTGATAAATGGCAGTGGTCGCTGCATTGCGTCTTTTCCAATATGGGACTTGTAATGATGTGTAAAATGCATTGTTTGTTTACATGATATTTGAACATGCACTGTGCAATGATCATCACCCATTAAAATGCGTCGTATGAGTATGAATGCACCAATTTTGCTCAACATTCCTGTTAATTTAATTTTAGAAAAACAGTGCACAACGAAACCTTTTATTACACAAAATAAACCCATATTTCATTTGTTTAAAAAAAAATGGCTGTGGGTGATACGAAACTGCATTTGGCCAAAATTAACAAAAAAACAATATGCCGTCCAATTTCAATTTCTTACTCACTGTACTGACTAACAGTTTTGTAATTTTATTTTTCAGGTGATACAATGACTGTTATGGATCCTCATCAAATGGATCTATGTGCTGCTGCCTGGGCTGTGGTCTCTTATGTCTTAGCTGATATGGAGGATATGTTGCCAAGATAAAGAAGATTGACTGGGGCTATGTCATCACAATGCACTTATGTCTGTACTTATATACTCAGGCTGAAATACCATTTGGAACACAGATACTGTAAAACCATTTATTTTTAGGCTTTTAATTTCATTGTTTTGAGCAATTTCACTGGGTTTTTAATTTTACAAACTTGGCAGAGAAACACTTTGTTCTATTGTTATTCTACATGTTCACATATATTTAATTTAGTGAATTTTACTTATCATTGGAAATAAAAACCAGTGAATAATTAAAGCATTTGTAGTACATGTATGTACAAACACCTACTTGGTTATTTGTTGAAAACATTGTACATAATAATTAGGTAATTGGAATGCCAATCAATTAAAGTACCGGTAAACTACTTTCATTTTAACATTTTGCTCTAAGATATAAAGTACTTGTTTTTCTTGTAATCACATGCCTCAAAGGTTTTTCTTTTTAGATTGTTGTCCCAATTTTAGGAAAAAATTAAATAAAACTTCTCTTTTTATGCAAAATCAAAATCAAAGTACAATTAAACAAGACATGAATGTCACAGTCCCCGTTATTTGATTATAAAGTTGTACAAGGAACATCTGCAAACAGGTGAATAAATATGTACTCTTTGTGGGTACAACTCATCATGAGGTGATTTCCCATAATCTAGTTTTGTACTGACAACTAAAAACTTCCACTGACCCATGTTCAGAATCTCAGAGTACACAAGTGCAACAAAACTATTTGTCATACATGTATACTTGCTCAAGAAACTGCATTCATTAATCTGAGTGAACCTTGATGTACATGACTTCTTTGTTAATCAGGTCTTCGAATATTACCAGGACCTGGGTTTGTTTCAACATCACCACTGTGCATCAAAATCATTTTCATGTTGTCAAATACAATTTGTTATTAACACAGTAAGGTCTATTATTTAAAATGTATTCATTGTACATGGAACAACATCTGTTAATTGTTAAACAATTGTAAAAGCTATGTTTTCAGAGCAAGTACATGTAATTTGAGGAGCGTGGTCATTATTGCCAAAAGCAGATCTACTCATTTCAAGGTGTGATCCTACCACATATGAACTAAATTGGCCCAATGGTTGCTGGGATAAGAGCAAATAACTGCATTGATCTAATTTGCATATTTTTGGGAGGGTGTGGTCATTATTGCCAAAAGCACATCTACTCGTGCCAAAGTGTTATTATACCAAATATGATAAAATTGACACGATGGTGGTGGAGATAGCAGCAAATAACTGCATTGATCTAATTTGCATATTTTTGGGGAAGCGTGGTCATTATTGTCAGAAGCACATCTACTCATGCCAAGGTGTAATCCAACCAAATATGAACTAAATTGGCCCAATGGTTGCTGGGATAAGAGCAAATAACTGCATTGATCTCATTTGCAAATTTTTGGGAGGGTGTGGTCATTATTTCCAAAAGCACATCTAATTGTGCCAAGGTGTAATCCTACCAAATATAAATAAAATCGACACGGTGGTGGTAGAGATAGCAGTAAATAACTGCATTGATCTAATTTGCATATTTTTGGGAGGGTGTGGTCATTATTGCCAAAAGCACATCTACTCGTGCCAAAGTGTTATTATACCAAATATGATAAAATCGACAAGGTGGTGGTCGAGATAGCAGCAAATAACTGCATTGATCTAATTTGCATATTTTTGGGAGGGTGTGGTCATTATTGCCAAAAGCACATCTACTCATGCCAAGGTGTTATCATACCAAATATGAACGAAATCAGCTCAATGGTTGGAAATAGCTGGATTTAGCTAATTTGCATATTTTTGGGGTAGGGTAATAATAACCTAAAAGATGACTTCCGATGATAAGGAAGCTATTTTGAAATTGGGTTCTGAGAAATTGGTTCTGAGTTCTGAAAAGTATACACTACCGATCAAATACATTTGGTAAAACTTGTGAATCTGAAATTTAACAGAATCAATTATTCTGAGCATGCTCAGTTGCTCTGTCAGTGCAGAAGAGAGAGGAAATTTTGGATGAAAATCTTGAAAAAGACCCACTTAGGATTTTCAGATTTGGAAAAAAAAATTACGTGCCTATGTAACACATACTTGTTTATCAGCCTGCCAAGTTTCATTGACATCTGCTGCAGAGTCCCTGAGAAAATGTGAGAGATAACTTGCAGCAACTTCAAAATGAGACAGAAAGTAAATCTAGTACTCTCCTTTCAGGTTTCGCCTGAACAGGGACTAAAAATAGCCCAAGCACACAGATTTTTGAAAAAAAAATGACTAGAATATTTTTTTTCTGGGCCTAATAAAATATCTGTGAAAATATTACAAGGTGTTTTTTCTGCAGACCTTGGTTGGTTGTACAAGACTGTGTGTTGTCAGTTTATGCAACAGCACTCCTTTTGTATAGCAGGACATTCACTTGCTCCTTGCTTGTACAAGACTGCAAAATCTGGAGTCAATAGATTTCTTCCTCAACTGCTGAAAAAGTTGGCATGGATTGGATTCAAACCCACCACATCAGGCTCTACCTTAATGACTGTGCTGTTGTGGAGATTCTTACCAAGTAGACTCACGAGAAGGGTCATTCCAATGTCACATGGTATACATTGAATTATTAACAAGCAAACAATAGATCTTTTGCAAAGCAGCTGATTTTTAATATGGTCTATCAGTACTCACAACTCTTTTTTGACTGTAAACGATGCTCAGATTTGTTAATTTTCTGACATTTTTAAATTCCCAAAATTTCTTTTTTTGTGAAAATGGCTAGCCTGAGGGCGTTGTTAAACATTGGAATAAAATATGAATTGATTTGCAGTACTTTTAGATGCGATCTCACTCTGCATTTCTAGTTGTCTGGCAAAACAACAGACCTTTATTGCAAAAAGACCATGCAGTCAATTGATCATATTTTTAATCTGTTATCCAGGTTTATTACATTTGCTTCCATTTGAATTCCAAAGATCTTTTCACAGGTTTCCACTATATTCAAGCAATTGTTCAAAAGATAATAGCTGGCAGGCAACTGGCTTATTGCATAAAAGAAGAATTCCCAGAACCATGCCCACTTTTTAGCTCCGCTGTCATCGCAGCTATTGGTATGGGGATTTCTCCGGCGTAGTCTGTCCCGCATGAAGTTTTCCTTTAAATGACTTCTTCAAAAGTACTGACCAATTACATTCATATTTGTACCAAAGGTACTTGGGGTGGTCCTCTGTCAGATTTGTTAAATTCGTGTCAAAAATTTGAAGTTTTAGTGAATATTTTTGTAGTTTTTGGTAAAAAAGTTATTTTCGACAACTGCTTCAAAACCGCAAGTTCAAATGCTGTCAGATTTTTTAAATTTGTCAAAATATGGAAATTTGGTAAATTTTATTTCTAACAACTAGTCCTAAACCGCAAGTCCAATTGCTTTCATATTTGCAGCAAGGATACGTGGGGTTGGTCCTCTGTCAGATTTGTTAAATTAGTTTCAAAATATGCATATTTGTCATTTTTGGTAAAAATTTTTATTTTCGACAAATAGTCCGAAACAGTCAACCACAATGTCACTTTACTGATTCTTGTTCCATGATAATAAAGAAAGCGGAGCTATTTCGACAGTCAGGTCACTTGTTAAACAGTTTAGGCAGAAACATGCATTACATGTTCAGTACTGATGTTGTTTTGCACCAATTTTGAATAAAGATTCCCCACAGGTCTCCAGTTGAATGTAGCAGTAACAAACTGTAAAAATCCACCTGCTCTACTTTTTATGCAAAGATACCGACCATAGCTGTCAATGTTTAATCAGGACAATATCCTTTTTCTGAAAATACAGTACAAGCTGAACACTATGGATGGATATCATGGGGAAAATTTATTTGCAAGTTTGTTGAAATCAATGCACATTACAGAGAGCAGTATCTAGACATATTCATTACAAAGGCAAGAACAGATTATATTCATCAGATTGTGCAATGTATTTGAATAATTCAAATTCAGTATTGCAACTCATAGAAAGCATCCAGCCAGACTTCTATATCAAAATGTTTTTGTTTTTCAATCTAGCACATTGGTATATTAGATTTCCTGCAGACACTGGTATAAAATTCACTCCACTTAGGGAAAAATGAATAGAAACTCAGCACAAATATATTACACATTTTTGTCATAAATTCTCCATCTTGAATATTGACCACAGTGGAAACGTACATGTCAACACAGCACCATTCAACAAATTTACGTAACAATTGCACGTCTCTACATTTATGTGAATCGTTTTTTTACCTAAGACAATGATGTAGCTTACTTGGAACAAGCAACATGTCCACATCTTCCATAATGCCGATAATCCCCCCCCCCCTCCCCTCCCCTCACTGGTATGTCAAGGGACACATTAAAATCTTTGTTACTTTCAAAAGATAAAAGAAAATCAAAGTATAATTGGCCCTTTCACTGCCAAAAAAAATCACAAAGAAATGTTTGTCAACATTTACTTAAAAGTTAATTCAGTCAAATATTTTATTTCTTCTGGAAGCAATTATTTATTAACGTGATATTTAATAACACTTTAGTTTTTCTAATTGAATACAACATGTATTCAATAACATAACAGTAATCCCTTTGTAAATAGTCTGCCAGGCCACAAGACAGGTTGGGGGGTAGTATTCTTAATTCAACTTGCAGTACGAGCATACTGCAGTTTAAATTCACTTTACAATGTTACCATGGATACCATATATCCAGGGATAAATCTTCATGTATTCAATAACATAACAGTAACACAAACTCAGTAATCCCTTTGTAAATAGTCTGCCAGGCCCCAAGACAGGTTGGGGGTAGTATTCTTAATTCAACTTGCAGTACTAGCATACTCCAGTTTAAATTCACTTTACAATGTTACCGTGGATACCATATATCCAGGGATAAATCTTCGTAAATCTTGCATATGTTACAAGAGGGTATACTCTGATCAGTGATTGGCAACTACAAATCTACCAAGTTAAAGGAGTGTTACTTCTCAAATAGAATCATTTTTTTGTGTGTGGATATATAACTCGATACAATTTCAACGGAAGCCGCTAAGATTACAGACTGCTAGCATGACAGTATTCTTTATAGAGCATGTGATCAGCTGTGGTTTATCGGAATGCAGACTATCAGCAGCAACATCGAAATGCTTCACACATCACACACTTACATTGCACTAAAATGCTTTCTTTGAAATCTGCTAGCTTTGGTCCAAAATTTTGTACACATTCAGGTGGGTTCGTATTCGGCAGTAAAAGGGCAATTTGTAAAAATAATATCTGTCTTGTGTACAGTCAATGCAATTTGCAAGTCTTCGAAGCTCATGGATAACATGGTCAGCTTAATAAAAAGAAAACACTGGAAGGCATACTACTTTAAATTATACAGTGTGATTGTGGTGTTCATATAAAACTACCTGCAATATAACAATTTTCTAAAAGATTGACACAACTTCAAACAGTTTCAGCATTGACAAGTTTTTGATTTCAGAAATTATGAAACAAAAACCCAGCATGAACCAACAAATTTAATCAGCTGTTCTTATATTGCAATCAGTAGTAACACAAGCACACTATCATCTATAGAAAAGATCTACAAATTATACATAAACTACAAATAAAATTTAAGAACATAACAAGTATTTCAGAAGGCATTTTTTTTTTTTTTTTGCAGAATAGCAACAAACATGGGAAGTACCTTGTATAATATTGCAAATAAAATATTTGAAATAATTCTTTAAACTGATAAAATAAAATTTGGACATAGAGGTGCTCAACACCTGTTTATTGTTTTCTACTCTACACTGGTATATAGATTTCTGAATAAGAGGATTATCCAGTCTTCAACTCTAATCTACCCAACACATAGGTTCTCTGATAATCTTCATCTGGCATTCTTTCATTCATTATACTGACGTACCAGGATCACCATTTTTTTGTTCTGTTGTCACCTGCTGAAAACAAATTTGAAATGTTTGTTGTTACAGAATATTCTGTAATGAATCTGATAACAGTAGCATGTCATCACGATGATTATGAACTTTCTACAGGCGCCTAGTACCGTTCCCTAGGTTTGTGACTAACTTGAATATTTATTCCTGCATGCAAACTTAAGTTAGTCTCATATGAGAGGGCATTTAGGACCAATCTGTCAAATTATAGTATAATTTTACTTTTGAAAATGTTCATTTGTTGCTCCGTTGAGCTGACATTGATAGTTCTAGTCAAGTGTATGTCAAGTTGGGACGAGCTGTTAACATGTTGAGAATGTATGGATAGATACAATAAGTGTTCAGTAGGCACAAGTACCAATAACTACAAGTGTTGGCATGAATAGTTACAAAACGTGGTGGTGTGTAATATAATAATTAACAACAATAACTGAGATAAAGAGAAGAAATGACAGCTGATGAAGTGACAGGATTACAAAGAATTCATTATAAACTACTTTCTCTATGGCATGCTATGTCTACAAAGCAGAGCAAATTCACAGAAGGTGCATTAATTGTACTACATTATTCCCGTTACCAAAATTACCCATCATGCAACATGAACAAGGAGATCGTGGCAGGCTGGACTTAACCATGCTAAATAAGCAGGGAAATATAATTGCAATTCTTGCAGCTAAGTTGCGGTTGCAGACATACAAGAATAATTGAGTTAATTTGCTGTTCCAATCCAAGGGAGGCTATATTTTTAATACGATTCAAGATTTTTCAATTTGTTGATTTAAATCTAAATTGTATAAAATTATTATATAAGCATTTTCAAATTACTTTGACCAGGAACAGGGGAAACCCTTTAACTATGTATGAATACAAATAGTACCATTTTAATGTGAATTGGCCCTGCGTTAGGTTGAATTACTCAGTACCTCTTCCGCTGCCTCAGCTAATTCCTTTTCTATTTTGCTCTGTGGGGGTTCACTCTCTACTCCCTGTTTCATAATTCACGACAAATGGAAAAGGAGAAAAAAAGAAATTCAAAAAAAAACAAGTCATTGTCAATGACACGTCCCCGTTCCGTTCATATTTGAGTGACATATACATTCAAAGCAGATCATGACCGAAATGCACCTGTATATGTACAACACATTGTACTAAATCTGAACAAAATCCATCCATGCATGACTGAGATCCAGTTCCGGAATTGTGAAAATGCGTGATTTTGATGCATTTTCGGCCTTAAAATGGCCATCATTCAGCTATTGTTAAGCGGATCATGAAACAAATGCACATATCTATTTGTGACATGATGTACAATGTACCATGTGTGTGTGTGAAGTTTGAACTTGATCAATCCTGACATGTTTCGGATACGGATCCAGAACCTATTATGTTTAATGTATGTACCAAATTTGAACAAAATCTGTCCATGCATAACTGAGATCCAGGTCCGGAATGGTTAAAATGTGCGATTTCAATGCATTTTCGGCCTTAAATCAGCCGCCATTTGGCTATCGTTAATGAGATCATGAAACAAATGCACATACATATTTGTGACATGATGTACCTTGTGTGTGTGAAGTTTGAACTCGATCAATCCAGGCATGTCTCAGATACGGATCCAGAACTGAATTCTTTAAAACAAAATGGCCGCCAGTCGGCCATTTCAAACCCGATCCAAAAAAAAAATGAAGTGCATCAAGGTCCTATTATGTTTAATGTATGTACCAAATTTGAACAAAATCCGTACATGCATAACTGAGATCCGGGTCCGGAATGGTGAAAAAATGCGATTTTGATGCATTTTCGGCCTTAAAATGGCCGCTATTCGGCTATCGTTAATCGGATCATGAAAAAAATGCATGTGCCTATGTCCCATATAATGCGAGATGTATGAGTGAAGTTTGAACTTAATCGGTCCATGCATGTTCGAGATACAGGTGATCACGGACGCACACAGGGCAAAACACAAGACCCCGTTTTCGAACTACGTCCGAACGGGGACTAAAACGTATCTAGGTAATATCAAATGTATACATCCATCACTGATCAAGACTATAATAACCCACATTTTCCACTGAGCACTAATACTTAGATGATGCAAAATATCACTTATTATGCTAAAACGAAAATGAATTTAGGTTGAATTAATATGAATTTTGAATTGATAAATGAAATGCTGTCTGACATATGAAATGAAATGCAGGATAAAAAGAAAGGTGACATGCGTAACACGGTGATGGAATATCTGTCCATGCAATTACATGGAAAAGCTTTAAGTGCGTTAAAGAGTATACAGTAGGATGAAATCATTTTTGTCTTTGTCAAGAAACAACATTAAAGTAATGACTGAGAGTTCCATTCACCAATGATTTGAAAATACTTGCATTTCACTTACCTTTTTGGGGTCAAGCTGTTTCTGTAGTTTTTTATTATTCTCCCTTTCTGATACTAAAGACGCTTGAGTTTTTTTCAACATATTCTGTAATTTAGCAGCAGCAGTACCCAGTTCTTTTGTTAGGCCCTTTTCTTTTACAAGATCACCATTTTTAGTCTTGAGCTCCTATGAAGTGAAATAAACTGGAGTGTTAGTCTTTGACTTTATTAACCCAATCACACTGGATTCAAGTTTTGTTTTTATTAAATTACAGTCAGTCCTAATACTGACTGTAATTTCATGATATCAAACTTAATACATAATGCTTCATTAATGCTACCAATGCTTAGTATTATCAAACAATAATTTTACTATGATAACAAGCTGTAACAAAATTTAAATAATTGCAGGTGTGACGGACCCCTCAACCACATCTTCCAACCTTCTTGCCCGAGGGTGTTCAGTCTTATCAATAATTCCAAATTATTTTACCACCAACAAAACTATTTTATTTTTATTACCAGGTAAAACGAAATGATTATAAGAACTTCAAACTGTAATGTGACTACAGTTGAAATTATTGGTAGTTAGCAAGTATTGCAGAATGAATCTATATTCCATTCACTTCGTGCTTACCTCTTCAAGTTTTTGAATTTTTTTTTCCTGCTCCTTTGATTTTTCCTCTTCTTTTTTGAGATCTTCAAGTTGTTTATTCAAACTTTCAAGACTCTCTACATTCTTCTGTTTTTCTTCTCTTAGTTCTGAAATTTTCTTGTTGCTAATTTCAAGTTCCGCCTTGGTCTGAAAAAGAATACAATTACACCGATGTAAATGATGCTTCAAATATCTCAATATTTTTTGCTTACAAATCCACTAGCTCAATAAGCTTATTAGATCGTTCATGATCAAAAATGATTTCAACATTAACCAAGCCTGCTTGCAAGTTCCAGAACAGAACAAGCTGATAAAGCATGCATATTTATAACACATATAAACAAAAATCTCCAAAGTGTAAATAATCAGAAATGCAATTTACACAAAATGAGTTTTAAATTATGTACAAAATAGATAACTTATAAGCAAGGATATTTAAAGACAAAATAGCATAGAGTGCTAAAATACATATGAGAAAATCAATAAGGTGAATATTTATGTTCGTTCTTGGTACACACGACTTTCAGGAATAAACACTGCCAAGACTTCTTGACATACCATGCCAGACATTTTCTTGTATGTCTGCCACATAAATAGAAACAAAGTGATGTGTACCTTAAAACATGTTGGATGTCTTACAAAATTAATTTTACGAGAAGCGAGGCAGCAAAATGCACAGATTTAAAGCTGTGGATGCCCAGCCTCAAAAGTTTATACACTGGTGCAAGAAGCAAAAACACACAAAAAAAAAAGATGCATTGGAATCGTGGTACTTGATCTTACATCAAAATCAAATACCAGTTAAAGCAACATAGTAGTTGCACATGCACGTTCAAATAGTGTGAACACAGTGTTTTACACGTTATAAAAGTTATGTCGGGTCAGGTTCAATTTCCAGATTTAAGGTAGATAGACACATTCGTGACCTAATTTGTAACTTCACCGTTTTGCGTCTTTTAATATCCAGAACCCAAATCCTATATGACAACCTAATGCAATCTTATTGTTATATCGTATTTGCTTATCAGAATCGCATCGCCAGTTGCAGCTCAACAAACCAAGCCTTGAGTATGTCATTAAAACATGACCTGGACACGCCTCTGTCATTTATGTAAGCGAATGTACGTACTACTAATGCTGCAAATAGGCTATACGCATGTTAAGAGTATAGAAGTAGTGCAGTTATCAAATCTTAACATGGTGATGAGTGGCAGTAGTTTAGTACCGGGTAGTGTTGAAAAAAACTAGACCAAATTAATTGATGACATGGTGACTAAATTGAAACATTGTGGCAAGTAGGAAATAGGTAGTTGTAGCATCGCTCACCCAACAGCACAGTGCCATCACATAAGCCACATGGTACACTTGTATGCATTATATGCGATTTATAGCGCCACTGCATTCAGGAAAATGCCAGCAGGTATTAGTAGTGAAAAGGATGATGAAAATATATAGGTTATATAACAGCAATGCTTTGTTAAATTATCACTATGCTATGATTCACAAATTAACATGAAATACAGACATGCTAGCGCAACAACTAGCTGGGAACATGATCCTTATTATCCACTCATCTACTCACTGTATTGAAATCGGCAGCGTCTACTTTGGATGCTGATTCATTTTTAATCTTTTCCAACTCAGACTTCAGCTGTTCGACATCTTTTTGCGCCGTCTCTAACTCTTCTGAAGATTTCTGTTTCTCTGCTTTAATTGCTTCTAATTCAGAAGGATCGACTTTCTGGTTACTTTCCTGTTTTACAGTCTCCAGTTCTGTTTTTAAATTGTCCAATGCTTTCACTGCTAATTCTAACTCTTCTGACTTCTTCTGGTTTTCGGAGTTAAGTTTTTCAATTTCTGTAGCATCAACTTTATTTTCATTTTCTTTCTTTGCCGAATCAAGCTGTGACTGAAGATCCACAATAGTTTTGTTGGAGTTTTCAATCTCAGTAGATTTAGTTTGCAGCTCTGATTTTAATTTCTCCATTTCAGATGGGTCCACTTTCATCTCCGACTCCTTTCGTGTATTCTCCAAGTCCAGTCGAAGCTGCACAATTTCCTTGTTGGCATTCTCAAGTTCCTCAACTTCCTTTTGGTTTGACTCTTCAATTTCCCCTTTTAGTTGCTCCAAACTTCTGGTAACTGTGTCAAGTTCACCAGTTTTCACTTTCATCTCCTCACGGAGCTGCTCAACTTCAACTTCAGAAACTCTATGCTCAAACTCTCTTTTCAAATTTTCAAGCTCATTTTTAATTTCCTCCACAGTTTGTTTCGCAGCTTCAAGTTCCTCCACAACAGTCTGTTTTTCGGATTTCACCTGTGCATATTCAGAGGCATCAACTCTGTCCTCAGATTTCTTTTTTTCTTCCTCTAGCTTTGCTCTAAGATTTTCACCATCTTTCTTAACCTCATCTAACTCAGCAGATAACTTGTCCTTCTCTGCACGGATTTTCTCAATTTCATCAGAAGATTCCATGCTTTGCTTCAACTCCTCCAGATTTGATTTTACTGCTGTCAGTTCTTGTACTTTATTCTCAAGATCCAATTTCACCTGCTCAAGTTCTGAGCTCCTCTCATTTCGCTCGGTTGCTAACTCTAACTTCAACTGCTCCACATTACTCTTAGAATTATCCAAATCTTTTGTTTTTGTTTCACAGTCAGATTTTAGCTGCCCTATTTCATTGTCTTTCTGTGACAAATCTTTTTTAGACTTATCCAATTCGTTTTTTAATTGTTCATTAGTTTGATTCACAGATGCGATTTCATCACACTTTTTGTTTATTTCCTCTTTAAGCTGTGCTGTTTCAGTATTTTTCTCTCCATCAGCAGTCTTTAATGCCTCTAATTCAACCTTCAGCTGCTCTATGGTTTGGTTAGCAGCAGTCAGTTCTCCAGTGCCTGCTTCAGACTGCGCCCTCAGATCAGCAATGTCCTTATTAGCGGCTTCAATCTGTTGCTGTAGGCTCTCTTTCTCTCCATCAGCTTCATCACTTGCACTCTCTTTTGTCTCAAGATTCTGAATTTTCTCTTGAGCACTAGACAAGTCATCTACAGCTTTTTGTTTGTCTGCAGAAACTTTTTTTAATTCAAACTCTCTAGTTTGTAGCTGTTCTTGTAACTACACAGAAGCAAAGAAGACAGTGATAGAAAACAGAAAAAAAAAAAAAAAAAACACAACACAAACAAATTAAAATCGCAATTTGTTAACCAAAGGGTGACATCAATAATATAGACACTTGTTGATTCAGGAAATATTTTCTGCTCAAGATGAAATCTGATATACTGTAAAATCTGTATTGGAAGCCGTGGCTTCTATTGAAATGGTACAATACTGAATGTATGTGGCTTCTATAAGAGCATCTACACGTATTAGAAATGGTGAATTTTTGGGTCTCTATTGTTCAAAAAGAATGTGTGCGGCTTCCAATACAGATTTTACAGAAGTACTCCTTCTGGCAAACTTTTGCAAAAACAAAACATGTCCATCTACTCTCAACAAACAGACAGGGATCAATTAAATATGAGAAATATTCCAATCTAAAGCGGTTGAATAAAGTTCTTACCTCTTCAACAGATTTCTGAAGCTTTTGAATTTCTTGCTGCCATTTTTTTTCTTCTGATTCAACGCTGCCTTGTAATTCAACCAGTATTGTTTCCTATCATAAGACAGTTAAATATTTAGTTACAGCACACCAGAACATTTACGCACATTTTGTAGATAGCTACAGCAGATCTTTGTATCTGAGCACCATATAAGTAAATTCATGTTTCAAGATTAAATTAATACATTCCACTAATCAGCTTAATCTAACTAATCCATGTACAGCTGTGAACAGTTAAAATACTGTATTAGTTCTATTAGAAGTACATCTACACTTAAAGGGGAAACTTCCAATCCCAGGGATTGCACCAAAGAATCTTGGGACACTATTGTTTATGTTGTTTAAAAAGTTAATCTATCTTTTGTTATCCATTGTCATTTTAATCCAAAAAGTAAATTCGTTGTAAGATTAGGCTTAACTAGAAGTGCCCCTTTAAGCACACATACCATAATTGTTCCATAAAGTGTTTCTCCAATAAAAGTGAAAAATTGCATTTATTGTTTACTTTACTATGAAAATAAGATTATTTACACAAGCACAAGTGCTACTAATAGTGCAAATACTAACTAAAGAGGAAGTAATACACAAACAATACATACAGTGCTTGCCATTGCTGCTTGATATTCCTGAAACTGTGTAGAAATTTTCTGTTTCTCTTCTACTGCTTCTGAAAGTTTTGCTGATAAATCTTCAATCTGTTGAGAAGATAGAATAGAAACATCACAAACATTTGATAAACTAGTAAATAGACTGTACAAGTTGCAGTAGAACATAATTGTCAACTCCTAAATCGGATTCACTCAACACAAAACAATCTTGTAGAATTTGGAAACTATTCGGAATCCAAGATAAAATTTCCTTTGTGTATATGGACCCTAGTACTGCCTACATTTTATTTTAGCCTATCGAGTTAATGTATTTTAGTCATATGACTATGTATGATGTATTGTATTTCTACTGAGTTGCTAGACTTGACAGCAGGAAGACTACAGGTGGAATTAGACCAGTGGCAGTGACCAGAAAAAATCTGAGTCAACTACCCCGAGCAAAAGTGATGTACACGGCCGGGTTGAGCTCGATGAAAGACAGTCGTGTTTTCAGTCACTAAAAATGTCTTTACAAAAGCAATGAAATCAACACATCATTGAAGACCTCACTTCACTGAAATACTTCACATTTAATACTTTCACATTCGTTGGACGGGTTTTTGAAGAAAAGAAAAACCTTCTGAAACAAAAATTATTATTTGTGTACACAAGAACTGAAGACTTACTTGTGACTTAGAAGCTTGTTGACTTAGAAGCCCAAGTGCTTCTTTTTCAAATGTTGTTAACCACTCTGAATGAGACTAAAACAGAAAGAATTTTATTATACTTTAAGTTACAAAAAAACCTCATTATAATACCGACATACATTCTACAACTGTACAGAGAAAAGAAATATTATTGAAATCAGCATAATTCCATTGACAAATCTAAAACTATGCACATAAAAGTATTGTAAATACTGTACTTGACAGACTAAGTAGTGCTCAAAGACGTCGCCACACAAAATCCTGGTATTTAGGAGCACAATTAAAAAAACAAAAATAAACATGGCTGCTAGAATATTTATTCGCCACAATTTTTTAATATACTCTTTAGGTTCACCTGCAAGATATTTTCAACTTTTACTTTATCAATTGGTTTTATTAACGAATGTAGACCCTGTTTGTAAATGGAATATTTGTAAGTGTGAGGAATAACCAATGTTAACGTCCGACGACAAGATTTCACAATTACTCAGTCAATTTTGGGATGTTTCAGACGAGTGACCGATTCTACGTACTAAACGTATTAACTTGAAACACATAGTACAAAAGTAGAGATTGGGTTATTCATTGAAATGAGTGCTAAGTCAGTAGAGTATGGTATTTTCAAATTATACAAAACTATTTGCATTACAAACATTTCTACTATGATGATACAATTCCTTGTAGAACCTTTCCAAAATGAGTTACTGTAATATTTAATTCAAGTGTACTTACTAAGGAAGCATCAATACTGATATCTGGGAATATCCTTTGTAGTGCATCTTTTCCTATCGACTGTTCTTCACAGATACGGGCAGTCAGTTTCTCCTAAATTAACAAATAAATCACTAAAGTTATTACAACTGTTACAATACGTAACAAAATTATAGTAATGAAATCAAGTGATGGCTGGCAAGGCCAGACATTTTGCCCCGATACACACCTTTTTACTTCACATTGAAAAACAATGCTAAAATATAATTATACATAACAAATGCCTGCCTGCTAAAATATCAAATGCCCTAAATCTAAGCACTGTAGAATACTTTATTTTCGCTTTGAATTAATTTCTACTATTTTCACTGAAAGAATGATTCAGTGAAAATAAAATCCAGCAAATATACTATTGTTCCTATATTTCACATTCAATTCATCAAAAATCACCGAAAATGAATTTCATACAAAACACTCCAAAAGTCTAATCAGCGAAAAATTAATTCCAGCTAAAATAAAGTATTTTACAGTAATTTAGAGAAATAGATAGTTAGATACTTCAGATGAACTGAATTTATGTGATACTGATATGTTTCAAACATATTCAAATAAACGCATCCCATGCCATAAACCCATAGACGAGTGATATGATTTGGGAATTATGAAATAATAATTATGATTAAATGTAATCTAATACTCTATTTTCGCTGAAAAATGTTTTTTGGGTGTTTTGCTTGGAAATTATTTTCACTGATTTTTGATGAGATTAATGTGAAATATAGGGAAAAAAAAGTATATTCGCTGGATTTTATTTTCACGGAATCACCCCTTCAGCGAAAATAAATTCTAAGCGAAAATATTTTACAGTATCCTGTTATGGTGGTTTTCATTCATGTGACGCCTTCAGCAAATTAGTTCAGAGACTTTTTAGTTTGAATTTCTATTCATTATAAATATCCAATAATTTCAAAGCAAGATTAACATTTATTTACAGAAACAAACAACATAGCTATTCATTTGCATGATTCAAACATCGAAATGAAAACCGAGTTGTACTTAATGACGTGAAGACGTGTATTGGAAATTTAGCATTAAGCGATTTATTTCTACATTCTTCAAGAATAGAACACTGAATGAATGTTAATGCTTTGATTAAAAGTCAAACTGTTTATAAACAAATTATATAGAAGTTATTTATGTACCACGTATATGTGTAGGATGGAGATACCCAAGTAACAATGTGGCCATGTCACGCATCCTGATATATTGTCTATATACCATACAGTATTAAATGATACACTATATAGTATCTACTTTCAGTCATTATTTCATTTTTCTAGTATGTTGAATTAAATGAGAAATGAACTGTACATGTTTAGATGAGCTGTTTTATTTAATTTTATTATTTCTCATATATTATTGAAATCACAATGCATGTATGCGTGTAGTTACTGGGAGGCAATAAATAACACAGATAAGGATTTTACCCAGGGTAAATGAAATGAATGGGAATTAAAATAAAAACATGCACGAGAGTTATCACTACCTAAAACACTGGGAGGAGGAGGAGGAGGAGGAGGAGGAGGAGGAGGAGGAGGAGGGGGGGGGTCTGAACCACTGTACAAGGCTTTATAAAATTACTGTATAGATGTATGCTGTTTTTAGAATCCACCAAATTTGGATAACAATAATTGGCACTATATCAGTGACACTCTAAGCAGATGAAAAAATGAGATGATCGCATGCCATAACTGTATGATGGCTACATTAGTCCATCTCACCTCAGTGCTTTTAACGGCTTTGGCTACACTTTGGTTAGTGGACTTTTCTGCTGCTGCAACAGCATCCATGGCTTTCCAATTTTTTTCACGTAAATCCTGACAAGTGGACAGAAGGGTATAAGTCCTAATATTATATTAGAGAGAAGTGTGCATTCCAGCAGAGCTGAATCACTGACGAAATCAAAATTCATTTTTCACTTCAGTGTAATCTACCAGTTGAAATTAAATTGTTTCTCTAATTTGATTGCAATTCAGTTTCATGCTCTGTCAGAAATCACGTTAAGAAATTTATTCCAAGACAGAAAGAGGGTGAAGTGAGAAACATCTAGAAATTCATCAGAAGTGTATCGTGCAAGATTTTAACTCTACATACGCTATCATTATTAGAAATCGTTCAACAATGATAATACATTCATGTAGAAAAAAAATAAAAAAAGTGGAGTGCCATGCATTAGCCATTTAAGTGCGTGCAGCATTTTACACGACAAGCAATCATTATTGCAGCAACAATACTTTGATAACAATGCAAATTTATTTTGAAAAGTGTAATTCACCAATTTTACAGAATATAGCAAAGCAGAAACAGCACACTTAATAACTTGACTTAATATGAACTGCCACCAAACAAACACTAATAAGTGACAACAAAATTTCAAATTGCATTTTACACAGAGCAAAACTTGGATCATCTACTTACATTATTTTTCTTCTTTTGAAGTTCAAGAAGTTCACTAATTTTTCCGGTCTCCTCTTTTGCACTAACCAGCTCACCTTGCAGCTGCTCTATTGTTTTAATTTTTTCTCCCAAACTGAAGAAAATTAACATGAATGAACATGAGCAATGGGTACATTTACTCCAAACATAGATGGTCAAAGGACATACAATTATTTCTTCCACATGATGCATTTTTTTATAATTTCTTTGTTGACACGTTTTTCAGATCAAAATTTTATATGAAAATATTGCACAGGTTTATTTTGTGACAAACATTGACTTTCTGTTCCCATTAATTGTGTTGCTAATTCTATAAAAACAACTGTTTCCCCCTTTATTTTGTTGAAATCATTGCACAAAATCCGACTCGTAGTGTTGTCAGCAATGTTGGTCACATGTAAAAACCTCCCAGGTCAAAGAATAACTTTCAACTATTCTAAGGTCATACAGATGCCTCCTTCTGGAGGCAAAAGTTGCCAAAATGACTCATTAATTCCTCCCTTCAAGACATCTCGGGCATGTTGAAAAACAGACAATTGCAAGATTACTTGGCAGTGATCTCTGTTTCCCAAACTGATTATTTTTAATATACATTTTTTGTGCCAGGCAACAGTTTCAATCATTGAATGTCACTGTTGTCTGTTCTGACTTAACTAAGGTTTCTTCAAAGTCGCACTTGTTAGTGAGTGAATCTCGAACATTGGATTTAGCCTTCCCACTGAGTCTGTGACACACACACACACCCAAAGTAGGGGTTGCTCCTTTTTTGGTGTTCACCTTCAGGTTAGATAGGATTTGTATTTGGAACAACCAATCTTTAATCAGATGCAACAATTTTAATTTAACACAACTTAAACTATATTGAATGAATGAATGAATAATCCAGTATTTTTAGACTTTCAATTTGTTGTGTGCGAAAATTTTAATTTCCACTCTCTACAACCCAAATTTGTGGTTTTAAAATAATTTTCAAAGATGCAACATCATGTTAAAATCTGAATAATAATTTTCATGATAGCATATCAATTTCAAAAGGTACTCACATGTTTTCATGTTCTTCCAGTGCAATTGAATTTTTACTAGATTCTGTTTCATTTATGTCTCCATTAGGAGCACCTTCTGGCACTGATGGGGCTTCCTCTCCCTCTGCAGCCACTCTTTCCACTTTTGTTTTTAATTGCAATACTAAGGATTCTTTTTCTTCTTTCAAACTCTGAAAAATATTGTTTCAATTTGTTATTTTCTACAGATTTATTAATAGCAGTTATATAGATTGCATAATTCATACAGCATCGTTTGGAAAATTATAACAATTAACATTCATTTATTTGATTTGATTTGAAAGAAACAGCACAAGAACAAAAGAAAGAAACAATTCTATGCCAATTAAAATACTTTCCCATTCACTGACCAGTTCAATTGTTGCATGCTGGGAATTCCCTAAAAATCACACTAGAACATTTTCAATAAAAAAAAATCAAATTTACAGTCAATACCAGACTGTTAGTGCATGCATCAGGAGTTGATGCTATGTGATTTTGTGGAGGTCTTGGAGACCTCAGAGGACACAGATTCTAGGCACTAACATTTTATTAACATATCAATATGATATGACATGTACTATCTGAACTCACCTTTAATTCTGTCTTTAAGTCTTCTTGTTCACTTTGACTGGATTGTAATAATTGCAATTTTTCTTGTGTATTGTTGGACTCAATACTGATAGATTTTAATGCCGCATTTAAATTCTCAATCTCTTTTGAAAATGTGGAATTTTTAGATTCAGATTTACGTAGTTCCTCGCTGACTTCACTAAGCCTTTTAGACAACATGCTCTCACTGTCTTTCTGTGAAGGAAATTTTAAAAGAATGCAACATCAGTAAACAAACTCAGTATCCATAATAACAGGGCGAAATTGAACTCTATAAAACACAACTGATTTCAAAGTACATCAATAGTCAGGAATTATCTGGATATTTTGAATGATGCGAAGACAAACAAATGGAACATACAAGGCAATTGCCTCAATTGGATGCCTCAGTGATTTTCAAGCACAATCATTACAATATACACATAGGTGTGTTTATTCACATGGCTGTTGTGGTGTTAAAGGTCTTCTGTGCATATACCATCATTTGCCTTTAATTAAAATCTGATGTTAATGTCCTCTGATGTCTTGATCCTTTACAATAAACTAAGGTGCCTTGATCTATTACAATAACCTAGGGTGCCTTGATCCAGGCACAAGTACACAGGGTGTTATGATTCGTGCAAGCCAGTACTTACTTGGCTTGACTCCAATCTTTTTATCTGTTGTTCATAGCCAGCAATCTTTTGTTCTAAATCTCTCTGTAGGTCATCACCTTTACGTAACTGGGTTTCATTACCCATCAAATTTTCTTTTAAGCGCTGATTTTCCTGTTGTAATTTACCAACTTCAGATGCCACAGCACTTTCCCTTCTGTGGAAAAAACATTCATTATTACATAATATAAGACGATATATGAATGCACAAAATTTTAGGATTTCATCTTATCTATGAAGAGATACATTTATATTTCCGTTACTTGAAGAGCAATGGTGCAGAGTTTGTATGCGAAATAGCTCGTTGCAGGAAGTTAGCACACATGATCACAAAGTCTCCCAGAAAATAAAAGTGATGTAACCAAACAGAAACAAGATTAAATGTGGATACTGTAAAATACTTTATTTTCGCTTGGAATTAATTTTCACTATTTTCGCTGAAGGAATGATTCAGTGAAAATAAAATCCAGGGAATATACTTTTTTTTTCTATATTTTACATTCAACTAGTCATAAACCAGTGAAAATAAATTCCATACAAAACACCCCAGACGTATTTTCAGTGAAAATTAATAAAGTATTTTACAGTAATATGTGCCAACGATTATTTAAACCCACAAACATTATTTTGCTGTGGCTTCGATTTATTGTTAATCTTGAGGAAGTTTAAAGCTAGAACAAATCCCTTGCTATATTATTCAAATGCCAAAACAGATAAACTAGTTTTTGTTTGCCTGTTGTAATTAACTGTTTTAATGAACTTAATCTCACTATGCTTAGTGATATAATATATTAAATTTACTATTACTACATTATAGGCAACGACATGCAATAAAAGATACCTATTTAGAAATGATAACATTCACTTACTGCTTGGATGCCTGAGCAACTTCAGATCTTAAACGTTTGTTTTCCTCTGTCAGCTTTCTAATGTTTTCCATCTGGCTCTCATCTAACATACTTTGCATCTGCTTCAGTTTATTCTGCATAGCTTGAGTTTCAGACATGTGCATTTCGTGAGTCTAAAAAGGAACAAAAACAACAACATAATTTATATCTTTTTTCACAATACAAGAATCAATTAAATTGCAGCAGCACCCCCCCTCCCCCAAGGTAGTTTTACAAAGCTTGGCCACAGAAATGCCATACTAGTCTTAAACAAATATATTGTAAATGTTAAATGTATACCTGTTGCATACGAGCTTGCATTGCTTGAATGTCTCTGGATTGGGAACTGATTTTTTCTCTGTACTTGGTCTCTTGTTGAGTGAATCTTGACTTGTCCAATGTGATTTCATGACGAAGATCCTTTACTTTCGATGCTGAAACCTGGGCACGCTGCATTTCTGAATACGAACATAAGGAAATGACAATATTGAATTATTTAACCAGAATCAAAATACCAATGATAAGTAGGCTACATCAGTAGCTAAACTCAAGTAAACTAACAGTAACTATTCAAAACTAACAATAACTATTCAACTAACAATAACTATTCAACTAACAATAACTATTCAACTAACAATAACTATTCAACTAACAATAACAATTTAAGTGAACCAACCATCTTGCAAAGCTTGTTCCTTTTCTTGCAGTTGTTTCTTCATAGCCGCAACTGGGTCTGTTTTCTGAGATGCCTGGAGATAAAATCATTAGTTTTATGATTGTCAAATGAATACAAATGTATTAGTTTTCAATTAAGGAAGTGTGGGGAAAATATGGTGTTTGTTTGAACGGTTAGTAAGGAAATGGGAATCAAGTAGAAACAATAAAAATATTTTTGCAACCAAATGTCTGTGAAAGGGCATTTAATTTAACAGTCTGATGAAAGATATGTACTCACTGGTGTCCATTCTCCAGCATGACCAGCTCCTCCACTTTGCTTATTCAGCAATATATCAATCAACTGTTGGATCTCAGAATCGGTCAGTGTTGCATTCTTTACAGAAGATGCCAAACGACCTCCAGTATTTTCATCTAAATCAAATGATAAAACAGTAATAAGCATACAATTTCTAGTTTAGACACAATAACCTTTGGATGCAGTTCCACTGCAAATAACAGAAGTCACTTCTTAAGGTAGCAACAGGGGTAAACGTGTTAAAAATTACTCCGTGATTCAGACATTCTCTATAAGCGACTAAGCAAGCTACTAGAAACCTATATATCATCTGAAAGCTTAGATATAGGTGAATAAAGTAGTGCATATGCTGTACCAATGTTTGAATTACAGAACAATTTTTAAGTTTTACACATGTTGCTACAATATTGGATCAAAATGATTTGAGGTAGCACTTTTACACAACTTTTCTTATAGTTAACTATACTTCACTGCTGAATGTGCAGTATACTTTGCCTGCTTTTTTCCTTATAGGAGGAAAATAAATTGAAAACAAGTCTCCCTTAAATCCAGTACTAAGAAATAAACTTCTCACCAAAGCTAACAGTGCAACAAAAGCAACCAAGAAACAGACAAATTGTTATCAAGTTAATTAGCATGAGAGTTTACAGAATGCAAAAAGGAAACTTTTATAATGAAATGCAAACCTCCTTAATCCAGACTACACGGTTTATATTGCCTATTATACACATACAGAAAACTGTTCAAACTATCCACAGCCAGTTTTTAAAGTAACACAGCTTACATAGTTTAAAACACGCTATTCTTGAAACCCTTACTAAAATTACAAGAGTAATTTCTAGGGGGTACATGTAAACACTGAGAAATGGGCTAAATGCTGGTTTTGATATGTGAAACTGTCAGAAAAACAAACACGTCTTTGTTACTAGATGTTACAAGATATTCTAAAAGTCTAAAGATTATCAACCGACCATGATAGTGTGTATACAAGTTATTTCCCTTCCAGTACCACCCAAGATACAATTTCCTTGATGGTAAAATTATTAAACCAAACAGTATTCTCACAATACATCTTAAAGTACATCTACGAGTCGCATAATATTTCTGAGATTATATTCAGTATGTGCTGAAGATTTTAGAATATGCAGGACAATGTTAATTTCTTCTACACCGGCAGTCAAAATAAACAATACATGCTGATGTGTACAACTTTTAACCCTAGCCACCCTACCCGTAGACACAAGCTAATGCTGTCCAACAACATTTGCTCACATACCTTGCAAATTAAATAACAATTACAAGAATTTTTTTCTAGTGGGAGTCAGGATAGTGACAAGGTCAAACAGGGACATGGGGCTTTAACATTGAAACTTCTAACAATTCAAAATTTGACACAGACCATGGTCTGTGTCAAATTTTGAATTGTTAGAAGTTTCAATGTTAGTGAATCAAAGATCAAGAAATCTAACAATGTTTAAAGAACATGAAGTTGAGTGAAGTGCAAGTTCAGGGATTGCATTAACCTAATATTTTGACTCCAATTATTGAAGAGGGACCCAGTTTTTCAGGCAAGCTGGGGTTCAATCTCTAATAAAGTTATCCAGGGTCAAATTTCAATTTCTTAAAATTTTGTAAGTGGGAATCGTCTTGCCGAGACACTAGTGCAAACCCTTAAGTTTCCCTTCTAATAAAGCATGATTTTTTGCAACCTCATAATTGACTAGCACAATTCTTTATAGATTTATTAAGTCCTTGACTGTACCTAATATAGATAAATAATTCACTACTTTTATAGTACAACTTGCCTGTGACAAAATTTAAATAAAAAACAAAATTTCATGAGAGGTAAAAATGCAAATATTTTACTAGGGTTCTAGTCCTGATGAATGCTCAATTTTTGTTTACAATACAAGTTACGAAAATAATCAATTTTTTCCTTGCGGATAAAATCCTTATCAAAACTGTTTTGATCTGTAGACAGATTGATCACCTTGTATTCCAACCCATATTTAGATTTGTTCATAATATGTCAACTACAGTTGCCGGGCATTACTTGGACTCTTGCTTCATTAAATATTTACATAAATATAGTCAATATAAATACCAGTTTTCCATTAATTTGAATATGTGTAAATTTATAGCAAAATACGAAAAAGAAATTATTGTTTATGAAATTGAACACTTAAATACATCTATGACATGCTCAATCTACAACACCTGGTGCAGAATAGATAACTGGTAATTTAATTCAGTATTTCTATCAATAACACTGATGTAATGAATGGCTAAATTAAACTCAGGGTCTCCCCACTTCTATTCATATTCCGGGGCCTTGCCTTTTGAAAATGACTGGAGAGTGAAAAAAATCAATGTTTTCAAGTTTTTCTTATCTTCTCTTGGTGAAATTTTGCATGACCTGAATCGTTCACCCTAAATTCAAATTCCATGAAAAACTAGCGCTTTAAAATTTCCAAATCTTCTGCAAACTGATTCAATTACAGAAATATAATACATGCTTAAGATATTTAGCCAGCCTACTTATATACAGGCAAATTATTTATTAAATAATATATTAGACAATGTATCAACAATACTGTACAGAACTATTTTGATTTGAAGATAAATAATTTGAAATGAAATAATTAATTTTTGGATGATCATTAAAGCCAATTTTATTGGCCTAAAATTAATATAATTAACACCACATAGTTAGGAAATGAATATTATATTATATTATATTGTAATGTATATTTTTTTGAACTCTATAATTCAAGGTGCCACCTTATAATTTGATTTATTACAATTTATTCATGCTACACATCTGTATTATTGCAGTGTCACCACTTAAATGAACGACATCAATAAAACAAGTTAGGGGGTGATAACTAAACTTGGAATAGCTGTCTAATCCAACGTTGTGCAATGCTGGATTAAAAGTAGTCAAGTGAAAAATCAATACAGAGATATTATACCCTGCAACGAGCAGTGCATTTCTGTTTTAATTTTTTTCCTATTTTCTCAACAAGAAAGTAATTTGAGCAAAATATCTTGTCAAATTTATGATGACATAAGCCCTATTTGAAATGTATGTCACCTCTAAAGTAGCTTGAATATCAATTACCATAGAACATTACTATGTCAGTGTAAAGTGTTGATAAATTTGTCTGGGCTCTGTCTGTACCCTGGCGTTACCTTTATACAAAGTTTATACAGAGTACTTCTGCATAAAGAATGCACATGTTTACTTATCCCTTGGGGAACTCGTTTATTCAACTTGTAAGCAATTGGATACACTGTTTCTCACACTATTATTTTAATTTTATTCTGGAAAATGAGTCTCGCTATATCAACTACTGCATGTCAATTAATTCTGTGCTGCCCTTGTAGAAAGTGAATATAAAGCCGCATAAAAAATCCTTGTTTATTGTACCCGCCTGTACCTACCAGATTGTGTTTTGGAGTTTTTGTTGTCGTTGATCACTTGACTGTTGAGTAGCACTTAAAGACGCGCTAATAATGATACCTAGAGCCGAGAGTACATCTTCCCAACAATTTGCAAAACACTATCAGCCATTTTAGAAAGAACACTTTTTTAACTATCAAATATGCCCAAATAGAAGCAACTGTTCACAGTAATTACCGGCAATCATAGCAACATGTAATTCAAGGTGAACGAAGCTCTTGTGAATTATTTTTCACAAAAATGTGTTGAAAAACATTTTCTATTGTTAGAGTGGAGAAGAATAATTAAACTGACATTCCTGCTTTTGTTGCAGACACATTAAAATTGACACAGGTGGCATGTAGAGGTTGCCAGCTGTGGAGAATCGCACAAAAGAAGTGAAAACCAACACTAATTTCTAAACAAGTATCAGAATTAAAACTATCGGTGGAATCAACTACTAAATATTCAGAAAAGCGCTTAATGATAATGCAGTCAGTTTCTAGGAATGAACCACAGAAAAAGATAATCCCCTTGCCATGTACTCTGTTTCAGTTGAAATCTGAATCTAATTGGCTTCAAATTTAATGTGGAAAATTCACATCGACAATTGATGTTATAAAATTCTTTGTCTTCTTTTCTATAATTATTTATCATTTCGTCAACATAATATTCAAAGCATTCAACATATTTTTACATTATTTTCTAATATTTATCTTAGTTCATCAGAAAACGCAGGAGTGGCAAACTTGAGTTTAAAAGGAGTATTGACACTGCATTTATGTTATGGGTTTTTATTCTAACCAGTGACAGACATTAAAATGTGCAAATATCCATGAAAACTGAGATTGAGCATTTACTTCCTCCATACAAATTTACACAAAGGCATCCATTATTCACATCAGAAGCAGAAGTGTGACTGTTATATTCGTGATATTACGCAACAGTACAAATATCATATTTGAGAAGCATGATCTTAAATAGACTGTCAGTTAGCATAAATAAATCATAAATTTAATGTCCCCCAAACACAAACTTCTCTATTTGAGAAACCCTAACCCTACAAATGTACCACAAGATCACCTTTTCACCACCAGACTTTCTCACCAAAATTTTTGCCTTTTTTTCTTGTATTCAATATTGAACCTTAATTTTAGAGCCAACAGACAAAATTTTAATCATTTTTTTAGCTATTTTTCCAAGGGAAAGTTTAGTGAAGAATAGAGGGAACTGGTCGTGAAAAGGTTAAAATAAGGACTACCATATTAGCCCAATTAGAAGCACAATGCCAAAAGTAAACTGTAAACAGTTGGGAGCTGGATTACGAGTTACTGTGACCAGTATGGAGCGGTAATATTGCTCACAATAATGTAGCCAGTGCTTCCTGTGGCAACAATGTAATGTGTCAGTTAAACAGTTTCTCACACTGCAATATTGCAGTTCCATTTATTCTTGCGGCCCCAGTAATTGAGAGTATATTACATGATAACATAGTAGGAAAACTTTTCACAAAAGTATGCATAATTTTGCTGCAACTGCAACAAATGATATTAGACAGGAAATGAATGTAAAGCATACACTACACTAGGGAACCAGGCTTCCGGTTTAATGACTAAAAACAGTCTTTCGTAATCAATTACCGGTACCAACATGTTCAGCACGTTGGCAAACGGGAAGATGATTCACAATAAGTTTTTCATTAATGAAGTGAATGTCCTAGACGAAGCATTCCCGAAGTTGAATTTAGTTTTCTACGGGAAAGGAAATGATTATTCCATTTTGAAATATCTGCTTACTGTTTGCACCAGTAGTAGGGAACTATATAATCCAAAAGTCACACTGATGCGCCATTGTAATGTTATGACAGAACCCCACACCCTCCCCGTGACTTTCGTTGAGTATGGA